ATTCAAGAGGTGACCTGGCTGCTTCTAATAACCTATGCTCAGATGTAGTAGCAAAGAAATGATTTAAAACTGGAACTTATATTTTAAAAAGCAGAGTGTAAAAGTTTGGAAAATTTGTAGCCTAGCCATGTGGCAGAGAAAGGAAAAGATTTTTCAGGAAAGGAATTCAAGCAAGCCACGAAGCAATGGCTTGCCAGAGATATTCGCATAACTAAAAGAGAGCCAGATGCTAATAGCCAAGACAATGGGGAAAAGGCTTCAAAGACATGTCAGAGACGTTTGCAGCAGCCCCTCCCATCACAGGCCTTGAGGCCTAGGAGGAGAGAATTGTTTCAGGGGTCAGACCCAGGACTCTGTTGCTCTGCACAGCCTCAAGACACTGCTCCCCACATCCTGGCCACTCTGGCCATGACTCAAAGGGGCTCAGGTACATCTCAGGCTGCCACTTTGGAGGGTGCAAGCCATAACTCTAGGCAGCTTCCATGTGGTGTTAAGCCTGCAGGCACACACAATGCAAGAGTGAAAGAGGCTTGGCAGCCTCTACCTACATTCAAAGGATGTATGAGAAAGCCTGGGTGGCAAGGCAGAAGACTGCTGCAGGGGCAGAGCCCTGACAAATAACCTCTACTAGGGCAGTGTGGAGGGGAAACAGGAGTTGGAGGCCCCACACAGAATCCTCATTGAAGCACTGCCTAGTAGAGCTGTGGGAAAGGGGTCACTGTCCTCTAGACCCCAGAATAGTACCTCCACTGGCAGCTTGCACCCTGTGCTTGGAAAGGCCACAGGCACTCAATGACCTATGAGAGAAGCTGTGAGGGTGGCACCCTGCAAAGCCACAGAGGCGGAGTTGCCCAAGGCCTTGGGAGCCCACCTCTTGAACCAGTGTGTCCTGGATGTGAGACATGGAGTCAAAGGAGATTATTTTGGAGTTTTAAGATTTAATGGCTGCCTTGCTGGGTTTTGAACTTGTATGGGAACTGTAGCCCCTTCTGTTAGGCAGGAATCTAGACCCAACATGGCAGCGTTACCCCATGTAGCAGGCCTTTTGTTAAAGACTCCTTTCACCCTTGTACACACCCGCAGACTTACATGTGTCAGAGTTCCGGCTGGGCAACCACACTCCCCCATGACCTGCAGCTCACCCACATTCCTCAAGTTCGTAAACAGCAGTTTCGGTTGACAGTTTCCAAAGACCCCTTCCTCATGACCCTTACTCAACTCCTGCCCTAGTAGTTCCAAGACCCCCCAGGCCCTGTTTGCACAACCAGCTTCCCTACCTCTCAGGCTATAAAAAGCCCCTACCCTCCTCCCTCAGCGTGACTTCCTTGGCCCACGCCTTTGGACAGAGGAACCTCGCCCGTAAGCCCTAATAAAAGGCTATTCTCACTGCCATTCGCCTTGTGTCTTCATTCCCAGTTTGGCTCCAGCCTCAGTTTACCTTTACACCTTCTTTTGGCCAATTTCTCCCTTTTGAAATGGGAATATTCACCCAATACTTACACTCACATTGTATCTTGGGAGTAAATAATTTGGTTTTGACTTTACAGACTCATAGGTGGAAAGGGCTTGACTTGTCTCAGAGGAGACTTGGGACTTTTGAGTGAATTCTGGAATTAGTTAAGACTTTGGAGGACTATTGGGAAGGTATGATTATGTTTTGCAATGTGAGAAGGAGATGAGACTTAGGAGGCACCCAGAGTGGAATGACATAGTTTGGATATTTGTCCCCACCCAAATGTCATGTTGGATTGTATTCCTCAAAGCTAGAGCTGGGGCCTGGCGGGAGGTGTGTGTATCACGGAGGTGGATCCCTTATGGCTTGGTGCTGTCTTTGCTTTAGTGAGTGAGTTCTCACAAGATCTGGCTTAAATAAACTATGTTGCATCTTCCCCCTCACTCTCATTTGTTTCTGCTCTGGCCATGTGACATGCCTGCTCCCCCTTTGCCTTTCACCATGATTATAAGCTTCCTGGGGCCTCCTGAGAAGCCAATCAGATGCCAGCACATGCTTCCTATAAAGCCTTCAGAACCACGAGCCAATTAAATCTCTTTTCTTTATAAATTACAGTCTCAGGTATTTCTCTATAACAGTGCAAGAATGGCCTAATACATGTTGTTTAACGTCTCATTTGCTGTCTGATTTCCAAGCCCTCCTAGTGACTGGTGCAGTTACTCAGCAGGCAGTGTGGTGCAGGCTTCACTGTGAACTGCTAGACCTTGAGGTTTCCGGCCTGCAAGCAGTAAGGTGCTAGTGCTGCTGCAAACTGTATTGAATAAGGTTCTAAATTAAATCTTCCTTCCTCTTTTACCTTTCATCTATCACCAGTCCAAACAAAGATGCTAGGCTTTGCTCAGATCCAGATTAAATGATAAGGATTCTGTTGGGAGTGCAGCTTGAACCAGTGCAGGAGGTGGAAGGTACCCTCCTGCTCTGTCAGGTGGACTGAGGACCCACTGCCTCACTTGACCTCTCGTCTCCATCTAGGGAGGTCAGATCTGACACCAGAGCATGGCTGTAGTCTTTCCAAGAATTTATCTGTCTTCCCTCCCACCACCTACCTAATGCTAAATGTCTTTCTCTTCTCTTTAGTCTTGTGAGGAACTCTCTCCTGTTCTTGCTGAGATCACAATAAATGTACAACTGCCCTGGTCTATGAACTCAGGAGCTAGTGTCTCGGGATCCTTTTGTCCTCTAATTGATGGATTTGCTGAGCATGCACTTTTAAAAGCCTGGCACAATGACCAGTGATCCCTGGGCAAAGAAGCTTTCTCTATCTAGGTCTTGCATGTATGTTTTTAGGGTTATTGTTATTATTATTATTATTTTACCAGTAGGAGTATATAGAAGATTCTCAGATAGTGAGAGAAGGGTCCTTTGAGGTCAAAGTAGTTAGAGAAAAAGAGAGAGACAGCAAGAAAAGGTAGCTACAATTTGCTGGGCATGTGGGACATGCTAGATACTTAATCCAACTGTTAAAGCCACGTCTCATAAAATTTTACAAATTAGAATTGTTATTTAATTTCAGGAAATGGAAACTCTGAAAGCTCAAGCTATTTTCCTACAAATTCCTACATATAGCTATTATTAAAACAGAATTCTCCTGATCCAGTGTCTTCCACTTACAGTGATGTTTTTGCAAGGAAAAAAAAAAAAAATCAGTGTGGTTACAACGAATGCTCTCCTTCCTCCTGTGCACTCGTGTTTTTGTATGACACCCCTAGGAAGAGTTCTTTTCGTGTGTCTCAGCACACAGTAATATAAGGCAGTGTCTGCAGGAACCAGATTTCTGGTGTACAAATTTGTTGCTTTTGCTGTACTCTTTGAATAAAACTTTCCTATGGCAAAATTGGCATCTCCTTTTCCAGAATATCCCCACCCTCTGCAGAGAATGTATTCTGGTGCCTGGCTTGGATACTGTCGAAACCAGTAGAGATCAAGATAGCTCCCCGATGATGTACCATAGTTACAAAGTAGGTTCACAGTCTTCCCTTCTGTTCCAGATACTTCTTTCTCCCGGGGCTCGATCCAGTCTGCTCTCCCAGACCCTGCAATGTAAAATATTCATCAGTCATAGGTCAAACCAGCCATCTCCAGAAGGGCCACTCTGGGTACAAGATAGGGCTGTTACCTTGGAGAGCCAGTGCTAGAAGTGAGGTGAAGATAAAGTTGCTATTCATTGTTTCTTCTGGATTCCTGATCTATGACCTTATGTTATTCAGTGACTGCTTCAAACTGGTAGCATTTCATAATTAAGTCACTGAGATGAGTTTTCTGGAAGCTTTTCATCACAACTCACAGGTCAAAAGTGGGAGGATCTCAGCCATGAATATCTTTTTTTAAGGAACAGAAACACCTATTTTTGCAGTGACTTTGAGAAACACTCTTTGTTTGAAATAAGTTGAATTCCCCACATTTCTACAGACTTATTTTTTCATGTTCATTGATACAGGTGAAATGGAAAGCAAAATGCTAAATAGTTAATAGTGGTAATGTCTGTAGGTTGAGGTTATAGATTTTTTTTTTTAATTTGTTTTTTCTTTAATAACAAATGGATATTTAGTCTTAGAATTAGAGTTAGAATACATGCTATTTTGGTGAGAGGTTGATCTTTTGAGATGTAAATTGTTTGGTTGTCATTAGGACAGGAAACAATAAAGAGTGAAAAAAGAAACATTCCCTCCTTCCATCTGCACATTCCCCTCAAAGACAGCTAAGTCTATGGCTTCTAAATCATAAACTCTTCATACCGCACAGCCAGACACACCGGGTATCTTACATAGGGTTTCCCACTCTATTTTTTAGTCTTAAATAAATGACTGTCAGATTTTCCTCTTATATCCACTATGTGATTTCTGGGTTTTGATGTAGATAGAAAGGAGGAGAAAGAAAAATGGACAGAAGTCTGTGCAGGTTAAAAATGACAAGATACATTCTATTAATTTTTATACCATTTCTTCCCCTCCTCTTTGAATGTTTACCTGCCCTTTTCTCAGGCTATCTCCCCATTTCCCAGACAGTGAAACCTAAACCATGCTCAATTTGCCATGAATTGTCTAACGAACTCACAAGTACAGGTGGCCTTTACTGTACTCTCCTATACAGAGATGGGATAATAAAGCTTTTTACTCATAGGACAATCACTCAAATAAATTGTCAGAAGAAATAGGTCTTCTTGTAACTTTAAAACATTCCCAATTGAAGAGAGCATTAGTCTACAATGATTTGAAGGGCTAGCAATCAAAAATCTTGTTTTAATGCTGTATCATTTGGCTATGTATAGTCATGTCTACTCCTCATTGTAATTAAGCTGCTGTGAGTGTCAAATAATAATCATATAACACAGCTCAGCCTACTTGGATTTTGGTATTTTAAAATGTATATTTTTCTTTCTGAAATAATAATAGTATTGAGTTCATAGTAGATAATTTGAAAAATAAAGAATATTATAAAGGAGCAAAACAATGAACAGTATTAAGTCCAGTATTCGCAGATAATTAATACTGTTTCAAACATTTGGAGTTATTTTATTCGCATGTTATTGTAAATGCTATTTTATTTACATGTTAAACATGCTATTTCAGTATTGCGTGTACATTTTTTTGTACGTAATTGTGGTCACGCTGTGGGTAAAATTTTCCTCGATGGTGTTTAACACTGGGGGCATGTAATAGAGAAAGTATAGTTTGGAGTCAGGTAGACCTGATTTCAGATTCTGTTATAGCTATTTGTCTGGGGTAGGGGGTGGGGAAGGGGACTTAATCTTTCTGAGTCTGCATTTCCTAATATGCTAACAGAAAGTAATATTGATGATCCATCAGAGTTATTTTGAGAATTCAATGAGGTGATATTTGCAAAATACAAGGCACATAATACTTGCTTTCAATAAACAGTAGCTTCCATTGCAAGCTCTTTGTAAATACCATATATATGATTACATAATTCATTGAAAGAGTGTATCGCAACATAAGTAGGCTAAGTTTATGTTAGCTTCACATAACTTACTTCAGCCAACTCGTTTCTTTTGGTAGGCTGCTTAAGTTTCTAAGTATACAAATTAATGTGTAATATCTTGAGAAAATTCTATCACCACTTTAATGACGTACCCAGAATAGGCAACAATCCTAAAATGAAGATAGTAAGTAAGAATAATGCAATTGAGAATGAAAACCTTTTGTTTTAATCAGGTAATGATACCTGCTTGCTCTTACCCTTTGTTCTTTGCCAGTAGGTCCAGTAAAAAATGTTATAGGCAGAACTTTACCACAAATGTATCTGTTCTGGGAAGGAAGCTAAACCATCCATAGCTGTTAGGCAGATTCCCTAATGTGTAGTGCACATATCAGTTGCCTGTACAATCCTGGTAAAAGGGTTTGCTTTCTATCACAGGGCATAACGGTGTGGCAATGGAGTTAGTATCCTGAGTGACCCTCTAGAAATATTAGCTATGCTGAATCCCATAGAAAACTCACAGAGAAGGGAGTGAATGCAATGATATGACTCTGAGTTAGGATTCAGTAAACTGCAAAAGTAATTGTCAACATGGGCACAAGGATCTTGACCAATAACTGCTTTTCCTTATAGTTTATTTTTGAGGACTTGCTCAATATAGCAAGTTCCCCATCTTACAGTTGCAGAGCTTCAGCTGTAGAATTTGAGTACAGGCTGCAGGTGACTAGGGAGCACTGTGCCTCCACAGCACAGAGGTAGACAGCCGAGTCTCTGGTCTGGGTGGCTGTGATGTTCAGGATGCTGAAAAGTTCTTTCTTGTCTAATATGCTACTTAGTCTTCCTGACTTCTTTTCAATTCCACTTGAAGTTAGCATAAATAGAAACGTGGGAGCTTTCTTTTCCTGCTTGTACCATAGTAGGCTTCGAAAGTTAACCACTTCATAACTGCAGTTGAGAGTTACAGTGTCTCCCTCATGGACAACCAGAGATAGAGGGTTTTGTACCACCTTGTCTTCACTGCTCACCCCTGTGTGGAAAAATGTGATTATTATTCACCGTTAGAACCATAGGGCTCCCAGACAATAAGTCAGAACGAAGTCTACTTTACCCTCTTAGTCTTCTGAGGATCAATCCTCAGGTTTCCTGGTTGCCCCTGACCCTTTGTAGTAACCCTACTTACAGCTCAGTAGAAGCCAAAAGATCGCTAGTAAAGCCTGTGAACGCTTCATCATCCTTCAATTATCAAGTGTGTTTTCCTGGGCAAAACGTGATTCACTACCTTAAGCATTTCCTTTTCTTTTTGAACCATCACACTCTACTCCTGGCGTCTGCCTGTGTGCGTGCGCATGCACACACACATACGCACACATAGACACAGACACACACTCAGAGAAAGGGAAATAGCAATTTGGTGATTGAGCCAACCATTAAAAAAAGTGTCATTTGGTTCTATTTAAATTCAAATCCCTCCCACTCAATCACCCATGGGAGTCATTCAAAATAGAACACCGCCATCTTGTGAGCTGGCGCAGAATAGCCGAAAATTCGTGTCCACATGTTTTATGAATGACAGTAGATACTTCTGAAATTGTCTCACCGTGGAAGGACAGGCTGCCCAAAGCTGCCCGTAATCCTAGGAGTCAGTAATTCTATTATATCTTGTCCAGGATTCTTAAGCGAGTGGTCATGCCTGCTCCATACCCACTCTTTCATCTCCTTGCTAACTGAAACCTGCATATGATGGTAAGTCTGAGAAATAGCAGAGTCCCCAGATAAGAATAACCTCAGTTCCTCAAAGATCATGTAAGACAGAGTCATCTGCTGACCTGGCATATCTGCTCCAGATTTTCACAAGAAAGACAAACTTTGTTCATTAAGCCTCTGAACGTTTGGTATATATTTGTTAGAAGAGTTTGGCCTTCGCTAATATACTTAGAGTATAGATTTGGTTGCATTCCATTCCATAAATGTTATTACATAGTTTTCTTGTCATTGTCTAGGAATGTCTATTTTTAGTAAAATACATATAATCTATGTAGGCATTGTTCAAGTCTAGGAAGACTAGTAATTTCTTGCTTCATCTTTATGATCACTAAGAAAAAGAATTACTAATTAGAAAGTTCATATCTCAAGGTGAAGACAAACATATTCGTGTTCCAGAAAAGCTGAATTGCCCAGTTGAGATGAAGTGACGGATCACTTGGTTTCCTAGACTCTTTTTTTGAGACAATGATAATGTGGCCTAATTTTCTAGATCTTAAACAAGAAACAAAACCCAGAAACATGAAGTAAGAGATTGATGATGTGACACCAACACAATAAAGTAAATAATGCCATGTTCTATTACTGCTTATGAATATAGTTTGTACTGTCCCCATGAAGGTCAGATAGTTTTACCCACAGTTTTTTTGGTTATAAGCTCCCTTCTGCATTTCTGGGTGGCACAGAGGTACAGGTGTGAGAATTAATTAGCATCTTGCCCCTTAATTCATGTAACTTTTTTTTTTTTTTTTTTTTTTTTGAGACAGAATCTTGCTCTGTCACCCAGACTGGAGTGCAGTGGTGTGATCTTGGCTCACTGCAACCTCTGCCTCTTGGATTCAAGTGATTCTCCTGTCTTCCAAGTAGCTGGGACTACAGGGGTGTATTATCACGCCCAGCTAATTTTTTTTTTTTTTGTATTTTTAGTAGAGACGGGGTTTCACCATTTTGGCCAGGATGGTCTCGAACTCTTGACCTTGTGATCTGCCTGCCTTGGCCTCCCAAAGTGCTGGGATTACAGGTGTGAGTCACTGCACCAGGCCTCTCATGTAAACATTTTTAATTGACTGTCATGTTTGTGCCAGGAACATAGGAGCATACAGAAATGAATAAGGCAATCTTTACCTTCAATACTAGCCCACACTTTGAAAGCCTTCTATAGAATTATTATTTGACCCAGCAATCTCATTATTGGGTATAAACCTAAAGGAATATAAATTTTCTACCAGAAAGACACACGCACACCTATGTTCATCGCAGCATTATTCACATTAACGAAACACGGAGTCAACCTAAATGCCCAACAATGGTAGACTGGATGAAGAAAATGTGATACATATACACCGTGGAATGCTACACAGCCATGAGAAAGAATGAGATCATGTCCTTTGCAGCAACATGGATGGAGTTGAAGGCCATTATTCTAAACAAATTAGCACAGGAAAGAAAACCAAATATCACATGTTCTCACTTATATGTGGGAGCTAAACGTTGAGTATACATGGACACAAAGAAGGGAACAACAGACACCCAGGCTTTCTTGAGGATGAAGGGTGGGAGGAAGGTGAGTATTGAAAAACCTATCAGGTACTGTGCTTATTACCTGGGTGACGAAATAATCCGTACACCAAACCCCCGTGGCATGCAGGTTACCTACATAACAAGCTTGCATATGTACTCCTGAATCTGAAATAAAAGTTTAAAATAACATAAAATAGAAAGCCTGCTATAAAATAAACCACAGCTTCAACATTGAGAAAGTTGGGACGGTAGATTTGCCTACACACAGCTGAACAGGAATGGGAAAGGGAGAAGAAAACATGGTTATCCGTGGTTAACTAATACCCATTTTTTAAGTTCCTGAGAAAAGAATAGTACTGGAGATCCTATAAATAGCTGTAAAAGTATTACCTCAATTAAAACATTCCTAGGATTTTGAGGGCTATGTCATATGCACATGTGGGACCCATGGAAATATTGTGCTGGGTCTTCAGGGGACTGCTTCTCAGGGAGAGGGAAGTGAATTCCGTATTGACGTTTAAGAATATGATGATCTCAGTGAGACATTAAAGCGACTAGCTTTAAGAACTACCTGAAACTGCCCATATCACTGTCAGGGGCAGTGGACCATCTTTCCTCTGAAACATCAGCTGATGCCTCTTGAGAGATACTGATTTCCTGCAGAACATTTGCAAGGAAGAAAACCTACAGTGTATTTTTTGGAGCAAAACCAATACTACATTTGAACAGCTCTGTAGAGTTCTTAACAGACTTCAGCTGCCTTTGGCACATGCTGTTAGGATAATAACAGTAATAAGAATATCAAGATGTATCATCAGAGTCTCTTCTGGGGAATGAGGACCTTGTATGATGTGGCAGATGTTTTTGGATAGTTAAACCAACACTTATCCGCAATCGATATCTTTCATGCTCATCTCTTTTTTAGAGGCTAGACAAATTAAATGTTCCCTTTCTCAACCTCCCTTGCAATTAGTGCTGGCCATATGATGTGGTTCTGTCCAATGAAATAAATCACACGTTCGACCTCTTAATTAGATATCTAGGACTGTAATTGCTGGGTCAAATGGTAAGTCTGTGTTTAGTCATTTGAGAAACTGCCAAACTATTTTCTAATGTGTCTGTACTATTTTACATTCCTACCAGCGGTGGATGACGATTCCAATTTCCCCCATCCTTACCAACACTTAGAATCTTCCATGTCTCTTTCTTCTTTTTCCTTATTAAAAAATTATGAACATCCTAGTGGGTGTGATGAGGCAGCTCATTTTAGTTTAATTTGCATTTTCCCAATAAATAATAATGTTGAGCATCTTTTTACATACTTTTTGACCATTTGTGTGTCTTCTTTGGAGCAATGACGGTTTAGATCATTTGACCGTTTTAAAATCGGCATTTATCTTATTGCTAAGTTGTAAGAGTTTAAAAAATATATTCTTGATATTAAATCCTTATCAGATATACTTGATTTGCAAATATATTCTTCTATTATGTGGGTTATCTTTTCATTTTCCTTTGTGGAAAATTTTGTGAATTTTGATGCACAAAGATTTTAATTTTGATAAAACCCAATTTATCTATTTTTCCTTTGGTTGCTTTTTTTGGTGTTGTATGTAAGAGATTGTTGCGTAGTTCAAGGTCACCAAGATTTACAACTATGTTTTCATCTAAGTGTTTGTGCTTCTAGATCTTACATTTAGGTCTTTAATCCATTTGAGTTAACTTTTGTACATGTGTGAGGTAGAGATCAAATGGTGGCTATCTAGTGGTCCCAGCATCACTTGTTGAAAAGACTATTCTTTTCCCATTGAATGGCCTTGTTGCAATAAATTGGCCATAGATTTATGGATTTATTTCTGGACTCTCATTTTTACTTTATTGATATCATCCATTTTAAAAGAGAAACTTACTAAAATCTTCTACTGTAATTGTGTGTTGATCAATTCTCCTCATATCATGGCAGAAATAACTAAGAAAATCTGTTACATACATTAAAAATGAATTCAGAGGGGCAAGTTTATCAAGCAAAGAGCACAGTCTTTGGAGAACGAATCCTTGGATAAAGGAGAGTTTGTGGTAATGGAATGACAGGGGCAAAGGTGGCATGCATAATCACATTTCGTGCCAAGACAGCTAAGAGCTGAAGGCAGCAGAAAGACTGGAGTTCCAGCTGCAAGTTTGAGTACAGGCTGCAGGTGCTTGGGGAGCACTGTGTTGCCCAGCACAGAAGTAGGTGCCTACATCACTAGGCACGGACGCTGAGATATTCAGGAAGCTGTCCTTTCTGGTTATACCAAACTGAGCAAACAGTCTCCCATTTGAGGTCAATTCACCAGGCTTAAATAAGGCCATCAAGAGGACAGGACCTTCCCCAGGGTCCTGCTTATACCATAACAAGTTGTTAAATGTGCTTGAAGAAGTGCAGTTCATGGAGACATCCTCTCTTTCCTGGACAGACAATGACTGAGGACTCTGATTCAGCTGTTGACCACTGACCCCTGTTTAGAAAGAGAAAAGAAAGTGGTGAAGGTTATCTTTAGATCACCTTTTTCAGAGCTGTGTTGGACGCTCTATCCCCAAACTTCCCAGCCCTGCATCTGTGTCTTTCCTTTCCTTCCTCCTTCTCTAGCTTTTTTCCTTCTGTAATCCTCTTTTCATAGTCTCCGATAAAGCCTCACCTGTTCTCACAGAATTTCCTCCCCTTTAGAATTCGCTACGGAAGAGTCAGAAACTCCCAAGACTCACATGTCAGTTGCATCCACAAGATTATTAATAAACGTTCAAGGAGCATCCTTATCAGCAAAGAATTATTTCCTGAATGGTTTTTTTTGCTTCAAGAAACTCCCTTGAGCTTAGAGTGACACTAAAAACACTACCATGAAATTTATATCTCTGTTCCAGATATCAGCCAATCGGATCTCTTACCAGATGTTTTCCCAGGGTTTTGAGCTAACCTTGAAGGTTAGCTATGAATGGAGACACTGCCCCCCTGTGGTGAAATGCTAAATTTTTGTCCTTTCATGCCAGTTTTTCAGTTTCTTCCTATTTCTCCCTTTCACTTGATGAACACACTTA